ATTTGAAATCACTGTCTACTCCATCCTGTGGCCACAGAGAATCCTTTTCCATTCTGGCAACTAATGACCTTGACCTCCAGCTGCTTCCAAAGCTTACTTCAAATCCAGTTACTCATTTATGGACCACATGGTTGAACCTTGATGCTTTTGCCTGAAAACTCCCACCCCCACCCCACATCTGGCCAATCTGACCTTCAGGGAACAGGGTCTTTGTTCCTGGAAGTCCTGGAAGTCCTTGATGATCTCCACTGGGGACTATTCCCCCAGGTTCAGACAGCCACCTGTCTTTATATGCTCCTTTCAGCTTATCTTATCCTGTGGGTCAATGTGTGTCTTCCTGTCTGTCTGCTTGGCCTTGATAATTCCGAGAGGGGGCAATGTGTCTCTGCAACTCTTTCTGTTAGGTAACCAGCCCACTGATCAGTGCAGCGGGACTGCCTGATGCTCATCAAAGCAGGCTTGCCACCTCCTGGGCAGAGCTGGACTACATTTCCCAGAATCCCCTGCTCTTAGCCGGGCCATATGACTCAGGGCCAAAGGGCTTGGGGGACAATGGGGCATCTTCCAGGCCTAGCTCCCAGTTTGGAGACAGCAAGATGCCCTTGCAAGTTACAGCGTTCAGGTTGCAAAGCCACAGGATGGGAAGCTGCTGCCATCAGGAACATTTCTGTTTGACTTTATATATAAGAAATACATTCTACTGTGTCAAGGTGCTGAGATGTGGGATTTTTAGAGCAGCTAATCTGCCTTTGTACAAAGTACAAAGAGTGAAATTTCTCCAGGACTTATTTCCCCAGGACTGTCCCTGATGTCCCCGTCTTACCACTCTCTCCCAGGGCCCAGCATGTGCTTATCCCTCAGTCTACTGTTGATCCCGCTTCCACACTTCTGGCTCAAAGCTCTTTCTGGAGCTGGAGAGTGGTGGGGAATGATGGAACCTGCTCCTGCCAGTCCTTTCCCTGAGGCGGGAAGGAGGCAGACAGGAAGCAAGTGTTTCTTTGCTCCCCTCAGCCCTGGCTGGTGGAGATGTGAGCAGAGCCCAGGCTGCTGGGGTCCTCTCCCTACCAGCTCCTTTGGGCACAGGTGGTCCTCTGAGTCCTGGCCCCAGTCCCAGCTGAGTCCTGGCTGGTGTCATCTTCCTCTGTGTCCCAGTAGAATTTCAGTAAGCATGTGGCACCATCTCACACTTCTCTACCAACTCTAGGCCATAGTCCCCAGGAACCCCACATTCTGCTCCACTACTGAGCTACAACTTTGGGGCCTGGCATGTGACACCACCACTGCCTGGCAGAACTACTTGGCATGGATCTTAACTTGACTTTCCCTGTCTGATAATCACCAAAAGCGACTGTCCACGCAAGACACAAATGCCAGTCACCCCTTCTTTGAGGCTCCCCAATTTTATAGGTGACACTCATGTTCCCATGACATCAGGGAGTGCACCTCACCTCTGCCCACAGCAACTGCAACCACCGCTCCATACTCTTGCATTTGATTGTGGAATGGAGCCGTGACTGCAGCTCAGGACAAGAGGAAAAGTCTCTCTAGTACTAGTTGCCCTTGGGACTCAGACACGGGTCAGAGGTGGGTGGAGGGCACGGCAGTCAGCAGTGGAATTGGCAGGTCCCTCCACTAGATGGCACTCACTCCACAGTTTCAATCACATTTCCAAGAGGTTTCACGTTTTCCCTTTTTCTGGGCGTTGGGTGGGGAGTGAGGGACTGTGCATGCCCTGCCTGGCCTCTGCCTGTTGAACCCTGAGTCTAGTGAGAGCAGTCAAGTTCTTCCTCTCTCCACTTATTCTGGTCCTGATCTAGGTGCTGGGCCGGTCCGCAGGTTTCACTACTAGGCTTCTCTCAAGATTTCTGTGCCCAGTGCCCATCACTCAGGCACACTTAGAACTGTGCGAGGAGTCCCACGGGTCCCCTGGCTGCATTATCCTCTCACCAGCCCCAGCACATGCCTCCTTTCTGCCTGGGCCTGCTCCCTGGGGTCTGCCCTCAGCGTAGGGGCCACCCCACTTCTGCCCCAGGCAATCCGTGTCAACCTCACACCTAATCTGGTTACCTAATCTGGTTACTATGCCTGTGGATCAGGACAAAAAATGCCTGACTCTTTAAGGTCAGAGACTGCCCTGCCACCTCGGGGGCCTCTTGAGGTTGGCTCTAGCCTAGGGCCATACTAGAGGACCCAGTGGGATTTTGCTGTGGTTTAAGGTAGGATTACTCCATCTTTTTATTAGTGTTGTTGTTAATTTTGAGCCCCACCAAGGTAGGTAGATGCAGGCATGGTGGTAACAGCCCAACACCAAGGGACAGGCTGGCTTGGGAGGGCCAGGCTCCCCCCCAGCTCTCTGACCTCAGGGGGTCCACTTAACCTCTCTGGGCTGCCACACCTTCATGGGTTGTGAAGAAAGAAGCTTTGCCAGCTGCAACCAGAATCCGGCAAGAGCCACGGACACAAGTACCCCAGATCCCCTCAGACCAGGCTGACTGGAGGTCTGAGTCCACTGCCCCCGGAGGGAAGAGGGGAGAGTTCCTCCAAGGCTCCAAGCACACTGGTGAGGCATCTTGCTCTGCAGACAGATGCACAACACTCTGCAGAGGTGACCTATGCCTCTCCCACCTTCCCCTGCCTCAGTTTCCCTCAGCAGCTCAAGCAGTTGGCTCTGCCCCAGGCCTCCAGGAGTGGCTGAGTATTCAAAGACAGCTCTGGGGACCTGCATGAGGATAATTGCTGTGCATGGGAGAAGGGGTGGGAACCTTCCTTCTTTGGACCTCAAAGCCAGGTGGGAAGGATGTAGGGTCTGTAGGAGTCTTCTGGGGAGCCTGAGCTGGATGCAGCCTGGAAACCTGGCTTGGGATGTCAGACAGCCTGGGTCCAAGCCTGCTGTGGTTTGTACATCTTTGCCAAAACCGCTGTTGAAGTTTCATCCCCTCTATGAGGTGTAAGGTGCTCTGCCCTAGTGACCAGCCTAACTGGCTCATGGATTTTGGATCTCTGTGAGAGCAGGTCTGTTGGCCTCAGACTCTGGCATGCACCCTTTTGCCCTGTGACCTCCTGCTGCTTTAGGCCCCTGCAGGGTCCCCACCAACAGGAAGACCCTCAGGGGACGTGGGCCTTTGACCTGGACTTCCCACCCCAGGACTATGAGCGGAATAGACTTTTTCTTTATGCATCACACAGTCTGTTTAATTCAGTTTTTTTTCTTTGTTTGCTTTTTTTTCCGGTACCGGGAATCAAACTCATAATCTTGCGCTTGCCAGGCAGGGGCTGTGCTGCTGAGCTAAATACCCAGCCCCTGTTTAATTCAGTTTTGAAAGCAAAAGGAACTCAGCCCCAGTCCTAGCTTCACAATCATCCAGATGATGTCATTGGCAGGATGCTTTTTCTTTCTCCTGCCCAGGGCCCGTTTTCATAAAATAGATATGAACACCTCCCTTTTCTTCGAGCACTGTGATTGACAGAATAATGACCCATACAGACACCCACCTCCTAGTCCTGCCACCTCATGAATGTCACTTGTAAGACAAAGATGCCCCCTTCCCCAGTCAAAAGAACCCTTGTAAACAGTTCTGCCTCATATTCCAACAAGGTGGTGACACAGGTGACGTTCCCGACAGTCCCTGGGGCCCACGCTTGCACTTGTCTGACTTTCTGGTCAGGTGTGGTGACCCCTACCTTTGGCTGTGACCTTGCCCTTCCCCTCCCCTCAGGTCAAGCCTGTACCCCCAGACCCCTGACTCCCTGGTTTTCATTCCTCTATGTCTTCACTACTGAAACTTTACTTCTGTACCAGTCACCAAACCTCTGTGATACTGTGTCCACCTAGAACACAGAGTTTAGTACCCAGATCACTGCAGCAGATCAAAGGAGCCCATGGGAAGCCACAGGCACATAGGGCTACACACGAGGCCTGCGGTTGGAAAGTATGTTCCAGCACCCTATCCCAGCCTCCCAGGATTCCTGTTACAGACAGGGAAGGGGCTGCACCTGGCCCAAGACTTGGCTTCAATTTCTCCTGCTTGATACGGCTGCGATTTGCTGGCCTGAGCCTGGGCGGGTCCACCCCTTGCCAGGCCATTCCACAAAGCCCTTGGGGTGGCTCTCTCTGGCTCACAGACATCCAGTGAGGCCCACGCTCACATTTTACCAGAAGGAAATGCCCTGCCTGATACTCACTCTTCCGGTCACACGGGTGGCCTCTTCCCCATGGCTGTCACCATGGACTTTCACCTGTCTGCAGGCATCATGGTCCACAGCATGGTCCACGGGGGAGGCAGGCCAGTAACAACTAGAGTCAGGCTTAGCTCCACAGGGTGCAGCTTGGGCTGGTTGGCTGGTGGGCATTGCTGGGCATGTCCCCAGCCTCCCTGTCCTGGGTGAGACACCCCCGAGGCCTGCTCTCCACCACCTGAGACACCACTAGAGCTGAGCCAGGGTCCACAACAGCCACCAGTCACTAGCACACCTGGCCAGCCTCTTCTCTTTTTCAGCTTCCTTTCCTGCACCCTTGTCTTGCTGTTTGGGGCCAGCTCCGAAATAAACTGTTTAGACCTTTGCCTCGGGGTCTGAGTCTGATGGAGGCCGAACTAAATCAGACCCTGCTGGAGGCAAAATCCAGCCCCATAGAGAACAGAAGAGCTCACCTGGCAGGCACTTTTACTTAGTTCAGTGACAACCACAATGTAATACATAAAGATTTGAAAACTATTTTGTAACTGCTGACAGGATAGCATCATCACCCTCAGATGTCCCTGTTGATTGATTTCATCCCCTGCATTCATCACAAATTAAAAAATCTAGGTAACCACTTGGGTTTTCTAATTTCTTCCCAGTGTGCAATGCCCTCTAGATTGGTCCCCAGTTCCAGATCACCCATGGAGACTATGCTGGCCTTCTCACAAAAACAAATGGGCTGGATCTGCTCTCCCCAGGCAGCGGGGGCAGCCACACCCTCTGACACCCTCTTGGAGCCCCTGAAAGGTACTCAGTCCTACCTGGGCTGATCTCAAAGAGGTGCTTCCCTGGATCCTCAGGGCCAGGAGGAAGTTCTGTCACCTGGGTCCCTTGAAGAGAAATAAGTCCCTAAAATGGAGACAAACACAAACAGGAAAAATAAACTGGTAGGGAAAAGGTCCTATCTTCAGCCCTGTGGGGAAAGGACAATTTGGGTCTTAGGGTAGGGACCCAGCCTTCTAGGGCCTGGCAGGGCAGTCCAGGTCCTGGGAAGGAGTGTGGCTTCCTCTCCATGGCAGAGGACCAGGAACAGAGGAGACCCCATGCCTGTTGGGAAGGGCACTGTGACAACATTTATAGCTGGAGGAGCTCTGCCCACTGCCAGCCAGCACTGCCTGGCAAGGGGAGGCAGGCTGGGCCTGTGTCCCATCACCCCGGGCCAGGTGCCCCTCTGTGGTCTTTCTGGGACAGTAGGCTGTTAGCTTTAGATGGCGAGAACAGGAAGGTTTGCGTCCTAGGACAAGGCTCCTGGGTGACTGGGGACAGTGCAGGGGATCTATGAGTCCAATACTGCCAAGTCCTGGCAGGCTGAGCTTTCATCTCTTGTTGTTATGTTTTTTATGTGTTTAATGAAAGTTTACTTATTTATTTGGTGTGTTGCTTGGATGGGACCCAGGGCCTTGTGTATGCTACATGAGCCTCTATCACTGAGCTACACCCCTCAGCCCAAGGTCTCATTTCTTTACCTAAAAGGGAAGGGTCAGCTATCATGCACAAAGCACCCAGCTGAGACAGTGCCACCTCCCCAGTACACATGAGTTCTGTTGTCTTCAGTATCCTGGGGTGAATGGTTCTAGGATGCCCCACGCAAGGAAGCGCAAGGATCTCTTCTACAAATGCATGGCATTTGCATATAACACACATCTTCTATAGTTGTTAAACTGTCCGAGCCAACTTACAATACCTAACATAATGTAAGTACTATGTAAATAGTTGGCAGACTACATTGTTTAGGAGATGATGACAAATCTGTACAGGTTTGGTGCAGGCACAAGTTTTGTATGGTATATTTTTAAACCTGTTGAAAAGCCCGTCCTTGCAGTCAGCTGCTCGGCTTGAAGTCCTAGCTCAGTCACAGGTAGATTGCTCAATCTCCCTGTGCTCTGGTTTCCTTTCCTGGGTGACAGGAATCATGGCAGCACCTTGGTACCAGCTGTAGTGAGCACTGGGAAGTCCTTAGCCCTTACAAGCCAGATCAGTGCACACGTCTGCTAAGTCAATCTCTGCTGTCATTGCATCGGGATCCACGCCAGATTAAGGGGACAGCACCCTATGTCTGCACCTTCCCAGGTTGCCTCCAACCCCACCCCTTACCTGGCCATGGAGCACTCCTCTTTTCTGCAAGCAGAAACCCATGTAAAGTTCCCCACAGTCCCTCAAAGCACATTATGCTTCCAGTTACATAAACAAGGAAACGACACAGAGGGGCCACGCTGTGTACCTGCAGCTAAGCCAACCTCCTCCAGGAAGACCCTGGCTGTGACGAGAGCCTCCCTCTTGGCTGCTGGCACCTGAGTTGTAGGGACATCTGGAAATGCCATTTAGGTAGCAGAAAGGCAGAGTGATGCCTCTACCAACAGGTGCTGCGTTAGAGGGTTTATGGCCATAAACCAGAGAGTCAGCTGGTAATCGCTGAAACTGAATTAACCATTCCTTGCTCACTGGGGAACCTGGAGCTACCAGGAATAAATGAAGATGCAGTCCTAGGATGCAGGAACCAGCTCCTTGGGGCACTGGGCGAGAGCCATCACTGATTGACAGGATGCATCTTGGCTGTTCACTGCATCAGAAGCCGAGTCCCCAAGTGATTCTGAACACTTTTTTCTTTTCTCTTTTTCTATGCCTCAATATCTGTCATCCGTAAAATAGGAGTAACAATATTGATGTGGACATTACTTTTTACTCCAGCTAAGTGGAAAAGTAGAAATAGATTCTCTTTATCTGGAACTGGTATAACCATCATGGCCTTTATTTTAAAATACTGGATCTAATCCAGGAGTCCATGAGGTGGGTCCTACTGGTATCATTGTCCAGGGCTAGCAGATGTATGTGGGGGAAGTAAGGTGAGGATGAGGGTGATGAAGACCAGGTCTGGGATGCAGACCAGGCCTGAGGCTGGAGGCCTGTGTCCCAAGGTGCTTCCCACATGGGTGATCACAGCCACCTGTGACTTGGCTTGCAGGAAGCTGCCATGGAGACTCAGGCTGTGGCTTTGGAATAGGCTGCTCCCCTGCCTTAAAGTGAATCTCAATGTCCCCCTCCCACTGCAAGGGGTCCTTGGTGATACTGATCTTGTACCTCCCACACATTGAGAGGGACACTTTGGTCCCAGGAGCTCTGGCAGTGAGGGGAGTTAGGGTGAGGGTGGAGTCAGGGGGAGTAAGGTAGCAGAGTGGGTCTATTGTTTCATTATGTGCAGGTCATGGATTTAGACTGTGATGCAAGGACATGTACAGTGTTGGAGTGAAGCATCCAGCTGCAGTGCTGGGGGTGGGCCTTAACCTTGAACTTGCTTCCCAAACCACCTCAGGCTTATTGGAACACAGAGAGCTGGGCTGGTGTTTAACGGATGGAGCATAAGACTAATTTTGTTAACAAGGCACAGAAGTGAGGGCCTGTCAGACCCATGTTTATTCTTTAGAATATTTCTATTCATGAGTTATTAATTTTATGAGTTTTATTATATTAAACAATGAGTACTTAACAGGAAAAATATCACAAAAATAAAGTATTGAGTTTTTAATATTTATTGAGTGTTTATAAAAAAGCCTAAAAGTTTTCAATGTTGACTGGTTTTTAGTGCAGAGTGTAAAAATAAACATCAGACATAAATTCCAGTGTGAACAACAATGAAAATACCAATGGCATGCTGCATAAAAATAAACCTTAATTCAATTATCACACCTAAGGCAGTCTGCACACGTGACAACAGCATGTTCTATACACACATCACTTACACTGACAGCACATATCTTTTGCTTTCCTGGTCTTTTTTGTAGGACATACTTGACATCTCAGTGGTCTTGTTGTTTTGTCAGAAAGTTCCTAATATATTGTACAACATGTACTTAGCAGAGAAATAAGATTGCAATAAAAGAAAATATCAAATATGTAATGAATACTTAGAATAGGCATCAACATTTTCACATCAGCTGTTTACTTCCTTACCAAGTCTAAATGATAACATCAAAAATAAGCTATGTGAACTACAATGTAAGCAAAAACAAAAGTATACCACAGAAATAAGCATTGCTTCAACTTTCACATCCAAGGCAGTCTTCATACATGACAGCTGCATGTTCCATATGCTGTTGCTTAAACTCACAGCATGAGTGTTTTGTTTTCCTGTCCTTTCCTGTAGGGTACAGTTGACATCTTTTTTGTTTTCCTGTTGTCATAGTAGGTCTTTGCGATACTGCACCTGCCTGTTCACCTGTCAGCTCACCAGTGTGCTCCACAATTTCTTTGCATAGTTCCCTGGCCAGAAATATTTTAATTTACTTCCACTGTAAATGATCTCTTATGAGCTCCAGTCCCAATCCTCTTAAGAAAATTTTTCTGTGATGCTTTTCACTTGTTATTTTCTTTGTAAACTATCAAGCTATTTATGCCACATGTGTTTAGGATCTAATAAAATGCAACCATTGGCCAATGTTTTGTGTTTCAAGTGACATCATAGTTGCTGCATAACTCATCAACATCTACTCTACCTTTGGTTTAGGCTTAGAAAATTTTTATCTCAGGCTTCTGTTTTGTCAAGATTTCCCTAGCAATATTTCCTTCATGGTGAAATGTTGACATCAGCAGTATCAGTTTGTTTTTCTCTGCCATATCTGAGGCCAATGTTATATCTTTCTAAAATCCAAAGATTGCATCATGTAATTCTCTGCTTTGAAACTGCAACATTTCAGTTGGAATTTTTGCTTTGTTCCTGTGTTCAGTTTCTGTGCTATTCAACTTGTGCTCTGTTAGCAAATGTAACATCAATTGGAAACTGGTAAGCCAATTGTCAAATGTCACATTTCAATTAGTTTGGGAGATAGGAGTAACATCTCTGTTCATAACATTATTTAGTTTACTACTAAATGAATAAGGACCTGATGGCTGAGTTCCAGGATAAATGTCTAAATTGAAAGCATAATGTCTTTTCATCTACAAGGGTATAAATTTTTATGCCATTATTTTGACCCACCATTTTTCAATAAGTCTTTTACATTCTTGTGAGTACCATGAGAAATCCCTGCTAAGTACAGCAGACCTATGAATGCTTTCAGTTCAGCTAGTGTCATAATAAATACATTTTCAATATGGGTATTGATGCATACAGAATGTTTTATTTATATTTCAGCCTTTGTGTATTTCACAGCATCTTGTAGCATTTTGTCTGTTACAGTTTTCAACTCTGAATGGCAGTGCTGGCACTCTGTCCAACACTTTTTCACCTCTGCCAAGACCTTCACTATATTTTCTAGTTTACTAGTTCTAACACGGGATGATTCCATTTGGTTGAGTGGCCATTTTGCAACATTTTGACTCGTCAAATATGTACTCATGTTGCTATTTTCTTCATCATCTGATTCAAGGAGAGCTGCATTCACTGTGTCTGTATCAGTCTATTCTTGCTCTATTTCACTGTCACAGGAACTTTGTCTCACTTGGCCAATGTCAAAATCATCATCATCATCATCCACCCACACCACTCTTCTGTTGTGAAAGGATGCATTTTACCATAATGGATCATCGGCATCATTCATGCATGAGTAGTCTGATGATTCACTTTTGACCTCCTCCCAAACTTGCAAATCTGTTTTTTCAGGTTTGGCGATATAATGCAGCAACACAAGCACCTGCCTGGCAAGCACAAGGTCCTGAGTTTGATTCCTGGTACCAAAACAAACAAACAAAAAAACCCACCCAACCAAACAAGAAAATCTGTTTTGTCATGTGCTATTGTACTGAATTGGGCTACTTCCACCAGAAAAATCAAAAGAAAACTTTTTTTCTTTTTAACAAATCGTAGATTGGTGTGGGTCTATTGTACCCTCTGTAATGCTTGGGTAAACATACAC